CCCACTCCCGTCTTGGACTGCTATGTTTTCCTGCCCAGCTAACCCTCTTTTATCGCTCTTCTGACTTTCTTTGCACATGCCAGTATATTTTTCAATTATTATATATTAACAAAAACTTGAAAAGAATAAAAGTTGAATTCATTATTCACCTCTTCGTAAAAATATTGTTTATCAAATTTTTAATTTCCTTTTTAAAAGTCATTTATCTTAAGTTTAATAAAGAGGCTAAGATCTATAATTTATTTTAATTTATATTTTATGAGATTCTCTTAGTTTTATAATTTGGATTATAGATTTAGATGATTGAGTTGAATTTTTTTATTTTTTTATAATTTTTTTTAAAGAAATTCATCATTCAATACAGGGTTAATTGAAAGCAGAGCTTCATAAATTCTTTTAATTTGTGTTTTATAAGGTTATTTTAATTTCATAACTAGGTTATAGGTTTGGTTGGTAAACCTTGGTCCTTTTTTGTGTCTTTATTTAATTGATTTTTTAATTTCAGTTTTTAACATTAAGTTGATTGAAAATTATATATTTTTTTTTTATTTACTTTCTATAGTGTTATCTCAGTTTTATAACCCGGGTTACGGATAAGGCAAGTTAAATGATTTAAATGCCAATGATAATAGAATTTGTATCAATGATTTAAATGCCAATGATATTACTTTGGCTACTTCAATGTTCATGAACCTGAAAATAAATTAAATTAATAAAATATTGATTAGTTGTTCATAAATTATGTTATAATTTAAAAAAAAACTAAAACCTTAACAAACTTATATTGAAAGATTGTCTTTCCACTGTGTCTCGTACTTACGGGTGAATTGATTCTGCTATGAACGCACGCCACCTCTACGCTGTGAAACCTCACTGGAAGAGGCAGCATCGGTTGACAGCGTAGGTGTCTCTTCTTGAGAGGCACCAAAGGATATGTCAACCTCGTTGTTAGAAGAACTAGCTGCGACAATACGTGAGCGACGAGCTGTGGATTTCGTTCTACACATCTATATAATTTTATTCAAATAATTATATAACTAAATTAGAATGTTAAAAAAATTCGACAGTACCTTTCTTATACTGGAGACTATCCTAATCCACAAACCTATAAATATTGATAATAGCCACAACCTATTGACCCCATATATACTAATATTGTATATGACATAACATCTACACAAATAACATCCATACTAATTACAAGGTAAATTCAATATTAACAATTACAATTCAATAAATTATTCAATTATTATGGAAATACAAACAATAAAATATATTCAAAAAATTCAAAAACAAAACTCTAGACTAACAATTAAAATTAATAGAAATAATTAAACACAAATCATGCAATAATAGAGTAAAATTACTAATTATTCCAACATATTCAATTACTAATTCTAAGGTAAATTCAACATTAAAACTACAGTTCAATAAATTATTCAATTATTATGACAATAAAACAATAAAATATATTCAATAAATTAAAAAATATATATAGACTTTATGAATGAAATATGCTGACCTTAATAATGTGTTTATCTCAAAACTTTATTTGCATTACAAAAATACACCGAAACAAAAAACATAACATAAATAAAAAGAGCTAAAACAAAGAAAAAAATCATTAAAGTAGAATGAAATAGAGGAAACATATACATTTTAATTTAATAAAGATTCAACTGGAGATTACAAGTAAAACAAATAAAAATATTGAAGGAAATGAGAGGGAAAAAATAAAAAATAAAGGGAAATAACGAAATAGATGAAAAAATAAACTGAAGGGACGGTCATTGGGATTTATAATGTAGTTTTACCAATAGCTTCACCGAAGAAAATAAAAAATATATTATTTTAAATTATTTCATTGGTGAAGTTTTGAAAATCCATCAGTAAATTTTGAATTTCACACCATCATTTTTAATTATACTCCATAATTTTCACAGTCTATCAGTAATTTCATTGGCAACTTGACGTAGTTAGAGATGCATTTAATGCACCGCCCTTCGGAATTCACACCGTTCATCGATGATTTTGTCGATAATATTGACTCGTTGACAAAATATCGATGGACTGTAATCCATTTGGCAATTCGTCGGTGATTATAGCATTTGCAGTAATTATTTTTCAACTCTCTATGAAATGCCAACGGAAAACATTTTGTCTGCAAAGTCATCGGTAATTATGACATTTCAAGTAATTATTTTTCAATTCTCTATGAAATGCCAACAAACTAAATTTCATCTGCAAAGTCATTGATAATTGTGGCATGTGAAGTAATTATTTTTCAACTCCCTATGAAATGCCAACAGACCTTAGTCCATCAGTATAGACGTCGATTATAGCAAGAAAGATTATATTTGTGTTGTCTATTTACCTTCCTGCAAACACTTAAATGATAAATTGTCCATCGCATAAAACAATAACAACAGATTTTAAACAATACATAAACTTATTAAATAAATATTTCATGTTACAAAATATATCATCCATAATATTTACTACATCAAAAAAAAATGTTTTACACAGCGCTTCATTATGATAGTTAGTCAAAATTTTCTTTTTTTCATCATCAATTGAATAGTCATCAGCTTAATCACAATCTTTAATATGGATATCATCATCTTCATCAACATTTGCTTATCCGCTAGAGCTCAAAACAACATCCAAATCCTTTGCATCAACATCAACAAGACTATCATTGAAAACATAAAAATTTAAATTTTCTTCTTAGTCAATCAAAAGAGCAACTCCATATGGTTCAACCAACTCAATAACTTGAAAACTTTATCTCACACACTTGTGTTTTCGTTCTCATTCTGAACGAACTCAACACGACCCTTGGCTTTGTTTTTAAAATGAACAACCAATCCACTCTTGATTGATCCTTTCTAAAGGAGGGGTGTATGTGTAATAAACTTGACATTGCTTTGCGAAAACAAAGACATCATTTATGTTGCAAAATCTAGCTTTTGAGTTAATCTTGACTAGACCATTATGCGGATCAACTCTAATTCCTCTGTCAGTCGCGTTATACCAACAATATTTGAATAAAAACACCATATTCTACTCGCTATGATATTGCAGTTTGATGACCTCTTCTAATTTACCATAGTAGTCAACTTCTAACTCACTACTAATCGATCCCTTAACACAAATATCGTTGTTGTATGTCTTTCTTCCATGCCTGTATTCTTCAGTATAGAATACATATCTATTGAAAAAAAAACACCCGTAGTAGCACTTAACTTTTCTTTTAGGGCCTAGGCTTGGTGAAGATAATAATTTAGCAGCACTTCTTCCTATTTGATAAACCTTGTATGTAATGTACATCAATGAACAGTAAATAAGAATCTCTAATGACATGCATACAATTATTTTACAAGTGAGAATGAGTTTGTGATAGTACTTATATATGTTCTAAACCATGTGGCAAATTATTTATCTTGTAATTAAAAGATCTGGGATTCAGTCAGTTGTAAGTTATTGGACAACAAATATTGTCGATGTTACCTGCAAGTGATAATAGTTTAATTAGTATTACATATATATACTTAATGAATAAAAGGTCTCAGCTCATCATAGTTAAATAGAACATAATTGTATGTTTGTTTGAACTCTATTTCCGACAAATATTTCCTCTTACGGTATTTTTAGGTGTGTGTCATCCAGGATTGGAAAATATTGACAAGTTCTCACTAGAAGGCACTTCACTGCTATCATCATGCCGTGGAACGTGATTGATT